TGTTAGCATGATAATCCATGATTGTCCGTAATGGATCACCTTCTAGTGCAGATAGGACCGAAGCATATGATAGAGGTAGCCATGTAAGACAGGCTTCCTCACCCTCAATCCTATGCCGATATAAACATCCTTAATGCACACAGTTCATGATTTTACTTTCTTTTGGGCAGGCCTTCGTATCTTTTAAAATCTCCCTCTACAGGCAAGAGCATCTTTTACTTGAAGAAGGTAGTCAAAAGGGAAGAAAGGAAAGTACTAACTGTATTTTCTTTAAATCCAAGGCAGCATCAGTTATACTCATTTGGAATGAGAATATCTCTACCAATGCTAATACAGTTACACTGAACTTCCAGCAGAAGTTAATTAAGTTATGTAGGTTTATACAGTCAATTTGAAAACAAAATTGGCCTACTGTGTCCAAAGTGGAAAACTAACCTTATTATAGTTCTCTTTCTTCTCCTATGCTGTGGGTCAATGTAATTTAATCTAGAGATAATACTGAACCCAAATGTTCAAAAATATGTATCAAGATTGTCGTAATTCAGTATGGTCTTCCTCTGCACGTGATCAAGCAAATAGTAAAGTTAAAATACGACTGGCTTTTCCACCTCATGCACACCATCACCACAAATAGAATGTTTTTCTTTACTGTTCAGCTCCAGCTGTAAGAGGAAGTCACCGAGGTTAGCTAATAGTTGAATCCTAATTCATGGCTCAGTAACTGGAAGCTGCAAATTTCCTGGGGTTTCCATGAGGTCAAGCATGCTTCCCGTTATCTTGCTACACGGCACACCATGTTCTGGTTACCATTAGTGAAGAATGCTTATGCCCTCCTGACCGTGGCCATGCTGGCTGCCTACCATCGCTGTGCAGCTTGGATCATCCTATTGTGCACCAACTTTACCACCCTCCGGACACTCTAGAAATGCAGCAGGGAGCTGCACCACTTTTCAGTACTCAGTGCCTTGCTTTCTAGATTTGTTACACCATTCAGAGGGGAATGTCTTGCTAGGGAGTAATCTTGAATTAATTCTTAATTTCATCTAGATTAAGATAAAAAGAAATTGCAGTATTTATTAATGAGATTACAAATAGGCAACAGAATAACAAAGGTTTATATTAGACCTAAGTGAGGAAGTAAAAGAAAAACATTTAAACTACACATACTGTTCACATTATTTCCATCTGATTTACCATACTACCCTAGACGTCAAGACTTCTGTGGTCCTAGATATCTTATGCTCATGTTACATCATTGGAAAATCCCTCTTCTGTGGTAGCATGTTAGCTTTTATAGCCAATAGCTTTTACAGCATTTGAGTTCTTCCTGAAGAGGTCCAGAGAGATTTGATCTTATTCAACAAATTTTATTTTACTTTTAATCCAGGAGACAGTCTGGCCATTTAAAAGAATTTAAATAAGCATTGTTTCATTTCCCAGAAGATGCGAATGCCTCTGTTAGACCGGATGTCATCTGCTCTACTTGCCTGTCTATTTAATGACTGCTTGCCTTAAGAAAGGGTATATCTTGTCCCCTCATCCCTTTGGTAATTTTGATCTTTCACTATGAAGCGTTTCCTCTGTTGAGCCTTAGTTCTGTGTCAGTCTTTCCACTAACAAAAAACACCTGATAGAAATGTCTACATGGGATAAATGTATTTATCTATCTCATTACTCGGTGTTGACTGAAATCAGACACAATGGTAAATTAACATTCTGGGATCACAATCCCCCACATATTTCCTGGATTTTTTTTAAGTCAGTGAAGTTTGTGGACCTAGCTTCTAAATAAATATAAACTGAGCTACCTGCATTGAATCTAGAGACTGAGGACAGGGGTAGATTGTATTTAGATGAATAAATAATTGTGTAAGTGTGTATGTATTAAAAAAGGTAGGGTTTTTTTCGCTTACTGACCAAACTAAAATGTAAGGAAAAAAGTCTAAGTCTTGATATGAAGTGTACAATTTTTGTTGTCAAAGAAAATAAACTTTTTAGGTCTAACAAAAACATGCATTTGTGCCACATTCAAAAATTTATATACTGTTCAAATGAAACAGATTGATGCCAATTATTTGTGAACCTGACAATTTTGCCCTGCTCCAACTATACTGATACTATCGGCTGAAGAAATAAACTAAATGTAAGCAGGTGAAAAACATGAATTCACTAGTTGTAACATACTCTCAGTCTTGACAAAATCATTACATTACTAAAAATTGCTAAAGAATGGGTTTTTGACAGCTGAATCACTGACTGGAAACAATTCTTCTGGAAAAAAAGAAATGCAATTTTTTATAAATACAATCAACGGTTTACAGTAAAAGACATTTCCCAAAAATAGCTAACAAAATCAACCATTCAGAGACCCTGCCATGAATTAAAGAACTTATAAAACAGCTTTAATGTTTTTATTAGGCACTGTCTCTCCAGCTACTTGAATGAAGCAATAACTGAAATTTCAAAGTACAAATGTCTCTAATCATGCTGAAAGAAGATTAAAAAAATCTTTCTCCTTATCAATCCAAATAAGTGCATGAGTATTATTTGTTGGGTTTTTTTGTTTGTTTGTTTTGTTCTTATATATGAGTGTTTTTCCTCTAGCATGAAAAATGTAATACCTCTCTAATTACAGCACTGGAACGATCAGGAACAATCAACTTTGCTTGCTTCTCCTATTGTATTACTTAAATTTTACCTATTATTTAGAAAATACTGAAATTTCAACCTCCAAAGTGATTGCATGTGATTGCGGGGGGGGAAAAAAGGCTATGCTGACCATGGCCCTACAGTCCACAGTGAGGTTCCCTCTAGGAGATGAATTGTGCAGTACCAGTTCATCTTCAGAAACAAGAAAATGTTACCCCCTTCCTTTCATTAGCTCCTCATTTTTTAAAATGCTTTACAAATTTTCTGTGTTATTTGCAAACTCCAAACCAAATTCTCCACTAATATAAATAGGTAGAACTTAGATGTCTTAATTTTCTTGACAACAACTTGCAAATTCCTCTCTTCAACTCATGTTCTCCATTAAGATTTAGCTCTCTAGTATTTAAAAAAATATAATTTTTAAACTATCATTGGCCAACTTAGATAAGAATGTAAAACCAGCTGGTAATTTTTCTTCTAAATCCTTCCGCATTTTCCATTCTCTGTAATTGAAAACATTTTTATCATACTCCCTGTACTTGGGTAACAAAATATTTTTCAACATGTTAACTTCTCCTTACCCAGTATCATTAAAGTGATTAAATCCTAGCATCTTAATGCCATAGTGTCCCTTCAAGTCCAAGTTTGTTGTAATTTGCCTCAATCTTTTATCATTAATCTATTATCATTCCTTATCACGTTTGGGTACCAGCATATCTAGTCTTAATATGAAGTCTACTAATGAAACACACGCATTAGTGTGTTAAGTGCTTGCATATTAAGTATGCCTGCATATTATGCAGAAAACCGTGATCTCTATGGCATGTGATAGCAGCAGCTCCATCAGTTGCTACGGAATGTAGTTTACAGTTTGTAAAAATAAATGCACTAAATATCAAACCCAAACTGCCAGGTTTATTCCACAAGCAGGAAATGGTTTCTTTATAATTCTGTTAAGTATTTGGACATCCCTGAACAAATTCTCTTCACCAAGTGGACTGAATTTGACTCCTTATCGCCATGACCAAACATGAAAATTTTAAATAGGTGGTGAGAATCCAAAGTCCTTTTGAAAATGGTAAAACTAATCTCCTGTTAAAGGTGCAGATATAAAAAATGTTCTAGAAAAGCTCTGAATCGGCCTTGAATCAAGAGAATTTGAATATATCGGATTTCAGGAAAATTTACATTTGATTCTCTTCCTTAATCACTTAATGTATGATTTGAAAACTGGATCATAGCTATACAGCAGTGCAGGTGTCCTAATGACTTGACTACTGTTTTGGAACTCAAATAAAGCACAGTTAGATACAAGTGTGTTTGCTGTTATTACTACCACCATAATTTCATTATTATTTAGTCTCTTAAATCTACTAACTGCATTATTACTAGTTGGATTGTAGCGAATGAATTATTTTTTCTTTGTTAATATTTATCAGCTACTGTAATTAGCTTCAGAATAGCTAGTAAATAACATGGCTTACAGATGAAACATTCCTTAAAAACAAGACCACTCTTGTGCTCAGTGATACGATGCATGAATGGTATTTAAAAAATACTAGCACTGAGAGCTGCATGATCCAGTCTGCGAGCTGATACTGCAGGATACAAACTGGAAGAAAGTGCTTCCCCTAGTGAGGGGCTCCCTGGAAGGTGGTATAGGTCAGTGGTGAGAGTATTCAGCCCTCAAGAGCCTCCAGCTGCCTTGGTTAATTTATTTTGTACAGCCCTCTGACTACTCACTAGTCATTACTGGTCTATAGCTCCTGCCCAGACCTCACTCACTTGTGATGTGTTTTCTACCATGTGCAGGTCTCCGTTCTGCTTCCTCTGCTTCGTAGTCTGTGATGCTGTCCAATACCCACCTCATCTCACTTAGCGCTTCCAACCCATCTTTGGATTCCTGCACTGTCTGCATTGAGTATCACGTGCTTCATCCTCCCTATAAAACCTTCCAAACTTAGCCCCTATGCACCTCTCCTCAAGAAGCAAGTCTCATGTTCTTTTCCACGACAGTATTCTTAGGGCTGATCCGATAGTACTCATTAGTACCGTACATCGTGAATTAAAGAGGTAAATCATACACTGTCGTGTTGAATGTTTCCTCTGCTTGCTTACTGATTTGCATCATTACAGTGAGCTCCAGTATTGTAAGTAAGGTAATGTGAAGAGACATAACAGTACCTGCTAGGAGAGGGAAATGGCGATGGCCCCGGCAAAGAGGGGAGAAGAGGGAAGCAGCAGCACTGGTCAGGAGACAGCAATTGGGCTCCAGAGGACAGGGTAAAGGTGGGGACGGTGATGACAGAAAGCAAACGGCATTTATTTGGGTGAGCTAAATAGCTGCAAAGGGTTCCTACGAGGCGCTGAAAGCAGCAGCGTTCAGGAAAGGAGGACACGGGGCGGCGGCGAGCTGTGGGCCGTGGGGCACCAACGGTTCCCCAGCGCTCCCCGGGGCTCGCCCGGCCAGCCCCGGCAGCTGCCCGAGACCGCCCAGCGCAGCGGGAACCCGTCGCCTGCCGCCATCTGCTGGAGCGTTAGTAACGGCCACCGCTGAGCCGCCCTACGCCGAAACCCGGCAACCGGCCCCCTTAAATGCGCCTGTACGAGGCCGTGGAGCAAGAAATCCCCCCCAAGCCCAGCCGCAATTCACGTCGGGGCAGGAAAGGCCTCAGGCGTGACACAGGCCGGGGGAAGGCCGTCCGTCCGGGGGGTACGGCCCCACCCCTCCGCCCTGCCCGGGCCTGCGTGACGCCGCGCGGCAGCTCACACCCTCTGTCACCTGCAGAGGCGTATTCTCTTAACTTTCTTAGGCGACTCCGAGCCATGCCTGATCTCACCCGGTGAGCCCGCACTCGGTGTCAACCGCTTTGCTGTTTTCTACGACAGATTCGCTATTTGAAGTCATTCCGGTGAGCTCGGCAGCGCGGCCCAACGCTGCCGCCACACACCCCGGCGTTGTTTTCTTAGC